TACAGGATGATATCTACTATGAAGAAGCCAGAGAATACCAACCTCATACAATGATGAAAAAAACCTCACCATTGTAATGCATCCATACTGAGGTTGTCTAACTTCTAAGGAATGTAACTCTTACAAACTTTAGATATAAAACATTCAATCTTTATGGACTACCTAAAGCACACAAAAATAAACTCATCACTAAAACATGCAATACAGCAAAAACTGATTGTGTGAATATACCTGCACCAACCAACCTAAAGCTAAGACCTCTAATAGCAGTCTCAATTTGCAAGACACACTACATGAGTAATTTCCTTGACATCCTATTGAAACCTTGTCATACACATTCAGAACTTCATATGAGATGATCTAGATTTTCTCAATCATCTACCAAACGAGGTAAATTATACTTATATAGTTTCACAACATATATTGAGACTATGTAACAACATCACTATGGAGCTGGCTAGAAATGTTGCCTCATGAGTTACCAAACCGTATCAATGGAAATTTCAAAACCTTCATCTTAAAAACAATTATTTTATGTTCAATGAATGAAACATCCTACTGACAAAAATCAGGAACAGCTATGGGGACAAAGGTTGCATCAACATATGCCAACTTAGTCATGGGATACCATGAACCAAAAAACTATGAAAGAACCTCAGAAAACTATGGAAATGACTACAAACAAACACATGCTACATAAAAGAAGACTGGAAAATATATTTTGATGACTTGTTTCATTCTGTGGAATGAAAATCTTGATAAAGAACATTCCAAGCATGCATTAATAAATAAAAAGTAAAAAAGGTCATCTCTTATATCTCAACTTTCAACCTAAAGAACACAAAAATCTACAGAGATACAACTAAATCTACCAATCCTACTAAAGGACAAAAAAATGAAAAGTCTATTACAAAAATATCCAATCATAAAAAGTAAATGACAACCAAAATCACTAAAAAAAACATACTGACCAGTGCAAAACTGCAGGACACAATTAAAGAGCCTCCGGTAACTGACCCCTTTGTGGAGTATGCAGCTACCTATTAGAAGGCAATGAATTTCACTTCAAAGACAGATTCAGAATTAAAAATGATTTCTCGTGCAACTCGAATTTAATATGTCTAATAACATGCAAAAATTGCCACAAACATTACATTGGCCAAACTGGCCAGACACTCTGGCAAAGGATGACAGTTTATTGCCAACAAATTAGAGATCCCTACACCAGAGAAATACCCCTTAGCCAACATATAGAGAAATGCAGGGGATGAAATCTGCTAAATTTTAATATCTTCCTATTCTACCAATGCGACTACATAACCACTGAACAAAAGGGGTTAATAAAGAAAATTTTTTTATCAACAAGTTTAAACCGATACTCAATTCATTGTATAAACCAGAGGCATGTCCCTCAAAATAGATCTTACCATATTTGCCTTATCATAAGTGACATATAAAGACAGTTACGGCCCTTGATTTTTTTTTTTTTTCATTTGTTTAAAAGGCAAGCATCAACACGTTAGAATATAAATAGTTACAAACAGTTACCATAGCGACATATAAAGCCAGTTACGGCCCTTGACTTTTTTTCATTTGTTCAAAACAAGTGTCAACATGTGGAAATATAAACAGAAACTTTTTGAAAAGCTAAAAATGAAACCGGTTAAAGTAAAAAAAGAAAAAAGTAAAACAATTTAAAGTAAAAAAAGAAAAAAAAAAAAAAAAAAAAAAAAGAATGAAAAAAAGTAAAACAAAAAAAAAAAAAAAAAAAAAAGAAAAAGTAAAACAATTTAAAAAAAGTAAAAAGAAAAAGAAAAAAAAAAAACAATTTAAGTAAAAAAAAAAAAAAAAGTAAAAACAAAAAAAAAAAAAAGTAAAACAATTTTAAAAAAAATAAAAAAAAAGTAAAAAAAGTAAAACAATTTAAAGTAAAAAAAAAAAAAAACAAAAAGTAAAAAAAAGTAAAAAAAAAAAGTAAAAAAAAAAACAATTTAAAGTAAAAAAAGTAAAACAAAAAAATAAAAAAAAAGTAAAACAATTTAAAAAAAAAAAGTAAAACAATTTAAAAAAAAAAAAAAAAAACAATTTAAAGTAAAAAAAAAAAAAAAACAATTTAAAGTAAAAAGTAAAACAATTTAAATTTAATTTAAAAAAAAAAAAACAATTTAAAGTAAAAAAAAAAAAGAAAGAAAAAAGTAAAACAATTTAAAGTAAAAAAAGTAAAACAATTTAAAGTAAAAAAAGTAAAACAATTTAAAGTAAAAAAAGTAAAACAATTTAAAGTAAAAAAAGTAAAACAATTTAAAGTAAAAAAAGTAAAACAATTTAAAAAAAAAAAAAAAAAAAAAACAATTTAAAACAATTTAAAGTAAAAAGTAAAAAATTTAAAAAAATTTAAAACAATTTAAAAAAAAGTAAAACAATTTAAAGTAAAAAAAGTAAAACAATTTAAAGTAAAAAAAGTAAAACAATTTTTTCTGAAAACCCATTTGTAAGTAAC